GGTTTATTCCTAGGTATTTTATGGTTCTTTGTGCAATTGCAAGTAGGATTGATTCCTTGGTATCTGTTTCTGTTGCTTCATTATTGTTGTATAGAAATGCAACCGATTTTTATATATTGATTTTATATCCTACAACTCTGCTGAATTCATGTATCAGTTCTAGCATTTTTTTGGTGGAGACTTGGGTTTTCCATGTAGAGTATCGTCTTATCTGTGAAAAGTGAAAATTTGACTTCTTTGCCAATTTAGATGTCTTTTTATCTTGTTTTATTACTGATTACTGAGGATAGGACTTCCAATGCTATGTTAAACAACAGTGGTGAGAGTGGACATCCCCTATCATGTTCCTGATCTCAGGAGGAAAGTTCTTCGTTTTTCCTTATTGAGGATGATATTAGCTGTGGGTCTTTTATACATGGCTTTTATGATGTTAAGGTGTGTTCTTTCTATCCCGACTTTCATGAGGGTTTTTATTAACAAAGCATGTGTATTTTGTCAATGCTTTTTCTGCATCTATTGACAGAATCATATGGTTCTTATCCTTTCTTCTATTAATGTGATATATCACATTGATTGATTTGTGAATATTATACCAGCCCTGCAGCCCAGGAATGAATCCCACTTGATCATGGTGAGTAATTCTTTTAATATACTGTTGAATTCAATTTGCTAGTATCTTGTTAAGAATTTTTGCATCCATGTTCATCAGGGATATTGGCCTGTTATTCCCCTTTTTAATAGGGTCTTTTTCTGGTTTGGGAATCAAGGTAATGCTTGCTGCCTTCATAGAATGAGTCTGGAAGCCTTCCATTTCTATTTTTTTGGAACAGCCTGAGAAGAATAGGTATTGATTCTGCTTTAAATGTCTGGTAGAATTCCCCTGGGAAGCCATCTGGCCCAAGACTCTTTGTTGGGAGGTTTTTGATAAGCAATTCAATTTCTTCTCTGGTTGAGGGAAGCAGGGAGAGTCTGTTCAAATTTTCTATTTCTTCCCTTTTGAGTTTTGGTAGTGTGTGGGTATCTAGGAATTTGTCCATTTCTTCCAGATTGTCTAATTTGTTGGCTATAGCAACATATAACTATATATTTTTCATAGTATTTTCTAATAATTGTATTTCTGTGGTGTTAGTTGTGATCTCTTTCATTTGTGATTTTATCTATTTGGGTCCTCTCTCTTTTCTTTTCGTTAAGTCTGGCTAGGGGTTTATCAAGTTTGTTTATTCTTTCAAAAAACCAGCTTTTAGATTCATTGATCTGTTCTGTTTCATGTTTTTGTTTTTTGTTTTGTTTTGTTTTTGGATTCTATATTGTTTATTTCTGCTCTGATCTCTATTATTTCTCTTCTTCTGCTGGCTTTGGGGTTTCTTTGCTGCTAGTTCCTTTCTAGTTTCTTTAGGTGTGGGGTTAGGTTATATATTTGGGACCTTTCTTGCCTCTTAATATAGGCCTAAGTTGCAATGTACTTTGCTCTTAGGATTGCCTTTGCTGCATCCCAAAGAGTTTTGACTATTGTATTTTCATTTGCATTTGCTTCTGTATATTTTTTAATTTCTTTAATATCCTGGTTGAGCCATTCATTCTTTAGTAGGATGTTCTTTAACCTCCATGTATTTGGGGGCTTTCCAGATTTTTTCTTTTGGTTGATTTCAAGTTTCATAGCATTGTGGTTGAAAATATGAATGGTATGATCTCAATCCTTTTATATTTGTTGAGAGCTGTTTTGTGACCGAGTATGTTATCTGTTTTGGAGAATGTTCCATGTGCACTCAAGAAGAATGTATATTCTGCTTTTGGTTGAAAAGTTTTGAATATATCTGTTAAGTCCATCTGGCCCAATGTGTCACTCAGAGCCATTGTTTCCTTATTGTTTTTCTGCTTAGATGATCTGTCCATTGTTGTCACTGGAGTATTAAAGTCCCCTACAATCACAGTATTATTATCTATACATTTATTTATGTTTGTGATTAATTCATTTATATTTTTGTGTTCTCTCACGTTGGGGGCATAAACATTTACAATTGCTAGCTGCTCTTGGTGGATAGACCCCTTAATGATATAATGCCCTTCTTCATCTCTTGTTACAGTCTTTGTCTGATATAAGTATGGCTACTCCAGCTTGCTTTTAACACCCAGTAGCATGGTAGATGGTTCTCCATCCCATCACTTTCAATCTGCAGGTGTCCTCAGGTCTTAAATGAGTCTCTTGTAGGCAGCATATAGATGGATATTGTTTTTTTATCCATTGTGATACCCCATGTCTTTTGATTGGGGCATTTAGTCCATTTACATTCAGAGTGATTATTGAAAGATACGGATTTAGTCCCATTGTGTTATCTGTATGTTTTGTGTTTGTGGTGATATCTCTGGACCTTTATAGTCTTTGCTGCTTTCCACTCACAGAGTACCCCCCTTAGGATCTCCTGCAGGGCTGGTTTAGTGGTCATGAACTCCTCTAGTTTTTGTTTATCTGGGAAAGCCTTTATCTCTCCTTCTATTCTGCATGACAGCCTTGCTGGATGAAGGATTCTTGGCTGCATAGTTTTCCTATTCAGCACATTGAATATTTCCTGCCACTTCCTTCTGGCCTGCCAAGTTTCAGTGGACAGGTCTGCTTCTACCCTTATGTGTCTACCCTTGTAGGTAAAGGCCAGTTTGTCCCTAGCTGCTTTCAGAATTCTCTCTTTATGTTTGTATTTTGTCAATTTCACTATATTATGTTATACTGTTGACCTGTTTTTGCTGATATTGAAGGGAGTTCTTTGTGCCTCTTGGAGTTGGATGCCTGTTTCCTTCCCCAGATTAGGGAAGTTTTTAGCTATAATTTGTTCAAATAAACCTTCTGCCCCTTTCTCTCTTCTCTGGAACTCCTATGATACAGACATTATTTCGTTTCATTGAATCACTTAGGTCTCTAATTCTTTCCTCATGGTCTAGTAATTTCCTTTCCCTCTTTTTTTCAGCTTCATCATTTTCCACAATATTATCTTCTGTTTCACCTATTCTGTCCTCTACTTCTTCCATCCTTGCTGTCACTGCATCTAGTTTATTTGTATCTCATTTACAACATTTCTTAATTCATCATGACTATTTCTTAGGTCTTTGATCTCTGCAGCAGTAGATCTCTTCTTTCTTCTATGCTTTTTTTTTTTCCAAGCCCATCTATTAGTCTTATGACTTTTATTCTAAACTCTTGTTCAGATATATTGTTTATGTCTGTTTTGAGCAATTCCCTGGCTGTCATTTCTTCCTGGAATTTCTTTCTAAGAGAATTCTTCTGTTTTATCATTTTGGCTAGGTTTCTGTCTTTTACATGTTTTAATAGCTTGTTATGTGTCCTGCACCTGCGAGTCCTGCTGTATTAAAAAGGGGTCATACACCGTCCAGCACCTGGCTTTCAGAAAGTGTTTTTGGAATGTGTTGGCATGGACTTTGTTGTTGCAAATTTGGCTGCTCTGTCCCACTGCTCATAGTGGTGGATTGTTTGGACCTTCCACCAGCTGTGCTTTGATTTGTTCATTGAAGTAACCTTGGAAAAAAGGAAATGGGAGGAACCTTATCTCATACAAAGACAGAAATGAAGAGGGTGAAGAAAAAAAAAAGACCAGTCAGAGAATTAGAAAAACTAGAAGGCTTAATCCAGTGAGAGATAGGAAAATGAAGAAGAAGGAGTTACAGAAAAGGTATAAAAAGAATAGAGTAAAAATGCCTGATGAAACAAACAACCAGAAAAGGGAAAGAAAGAAGGAAAGAAAGAAAGAAAGAAAAGAAAAGAAAAGAAAGAAAAAAAATATATGTAAAGTAAGACTTGACCAGAAACTATGAGTCTGATTCCAAAGGGGAAAAAAAAGAAAGAAAGAGGAGGGTAGAAAGAAAAAGAAGGGAAAATAGAAGAGTAGGAAAGAAAAGAGAAAAATTTAAAAATTAAAAAAAAAAACAGACTAATATATAAAACTATAGGACACTTGTCTATTGGTACCTGGTATTGGCGACTGTGCTGGTCTGGATGAGAGACTGTCTAGTTCAATCAGTGTCAGTCCTGCTCCAGTAGATAAGCAGTTACCAGGCATGGAGGGGTGGGGTTTGGTGTAAGTGGGTCCCACCTCCACTGGGGGCCACTGTCCTGTTCTTGAAGCCCTTCTGTGTTGGTATTGGTGACACCCCAATCTCTCCTCCCCGGACTGGGAGTCTCAAACCATGCTATTCAGGCAGCCCGTGCAGAGTAGTGCCAATGGTGATCCTGTCCTGCTCCACAGTTCTCCTGTGCCTCCTGGGTGCCCAGCTGGGATTCAAAACCCGATGTCTTTTTTTTTTATTTATTATTTTAATGTTTATTTGTTTTTTGAGAGAGACAGACAGCAGGAGCAGGTGGGAGTTGGGGGGAGAGAAGGGGACAGAGGATCCAAAGCAGGCTCTGCACTGACAGCAGAGAGCCTATGCAGGGCTTGAACTCAAAAACTGTGAGATCATGACCTGAGCCGAAGTTGGACGCCTAACCGACTGAACCACTCAGGCGCCTCAGTAGCTATGTATTTTGATTCTAACTGCCTTGACTTTCATTTTTATTCTTGTGGCTTGTTAGTGCATTTTGGCTTATGAATAGTAGGTATGTATTAGAATGCTTACATCTACATAAGTTTCCCAGGTACTTATTCTTCAGAGTGCAGGTGCAATCTTTTAGGAGTTCACATGACAATATGTAAGACATTACTACATATCTTACTACATATCTTGACACAGTACCCATTCCTGTTCATTTATTGATGCAAGAAATATCTACCAGTGTCTAGTCTTTGATAAGCCATATTAGCATAAATAGAATAAAATCATATTTGTTTTATTGGACAGAATAACAAATTCTCAACTGCCCTTTTGTTTCTTTTTAAGAAATCCAAGCATTCAATTCATTTCTTATAATGGGGGAGAGGGAGAGCATTTCCCAAAGAAACATAGAGATCATTTTAATTGCAAAATGAATTAATGGAAATCTTTAAATTTTTCAGGATGAGAGAGACCCAGAGAAAGAAGATGAACTGGAGCTGAAAAGAGGTCTTTTATACAGAGACTCTGCCTATGACAGTGACCCAGAGTATAGGTATGAGCTGGACTAATGCAGCATGTAGAGATCTTTCTCACAGTTTCTATAAAAATAACCTGCTTTTTAATCTGCTGGATTTGTGGGAAATTTAGACATAAATTGATAATTATTATTTATTTTTATGTTTACCTACATAAAACTTATTAAAATACTTAAATTACTGGGGAGGCTGAGTGGTTAGGTCAGTTGAGCTTCCAGCTCTTGATTTCAGCTCAGGTCATGATCCTGGGGTCGTGGGATTGAACCCCATGTCTGGCTCTGTGCTGAGCATGGTACCTGCTTCGGATTCTCTCTCCCTCTGCCCCTACCTTGCTTGCACGCATGCTCTCTCTTTAACGACAACAACAAAATACTTTAATGATTACATTACTGCAACTTTTCAAGGAAAACAAATATATTTTATTAAGGGTGATATTTTCCATTTTACTTAAGATTTATAGTATATTTGTCTGTCCTGCAAACCCACATATCCAGGACTTATTTTCAAGCACATTCCATTCAAAGAATAGTTTCCATAATTTTGGGAAATGACTAAGCTTTTTTTTTTTTAATAACCTAAGAAAAGTTGTTCTTCTAGCCTAATATTTCAGAAGTGTTAGTAATAGTAAAATTTTTGCAAGATTATGGTAGCAAATTTCATGAAGATTTTTTAAATCTCTATGTCAGTTGCCATAGAATGTGCTATTAGAAATTGAATGTAAATTGTGAGTGTTATGTAACTGAAGGTTCTCTGAATCCTTTGGTGCTATACCACTGATTACCATATGGCTTCTACCTTCCTGAGTTTCCTGAAAAGCCAGTATAAGAAACAAGCTCCAGATAATGGAATATGTTTTATTGCTAATTTGAGTTTTCGACTGAAGTTTCTGATTTTTACCCTGGTAAGTTAGGCTAAACATTCTGTGAACATGTGAGGACTTCTTTTGCCCATTACACAGAATATAAATGTGAACTCCTTTCCCAAAGCTACTGCTTCCCAACCAAGAGGCAACCTGGACATCTCATCAAGGGAAGTAGTATATTATAGGTGAGTTTGGAGAAGCAATCCAAACAGGAAAAAGAAGATCCAAGAAAGTCCACACCTTGAGGAAGAAGAATTTTTATCTTTTGTTATTATTATTTACTTAAAGTTCTATGCTCTAGATTACTACTATATGTATTTAGCATCCCAATTTTGGTTCTTAATCCATATATTTAATTCTAATTTGGGTAAGAATGGATAGGGTTGATAAAGAAAAGCACCTGATTTTCATGCTTTTGTATGCATAATATTTACCTGGGTTGCCTCTTTAAAATATAGATTTCTTCTTTATACCCCATAGATTCTGATTCCTTACCTATAGAGGTGAGACCTAGAAATCTACATTTTAAGAAATATCATAGATGCTTCTAATGCAGCTTGTGTAAGGACCACATTTTGAAAACAGTGGTCTATTTAAAGTTTGCTGTAAACCTCAGTATTGGTTCTTTTTCCAATTCACCAAGCAATGTTAATGGCTAAGCTTTTGAATACCTGAGATTGTTTTGGTACCTCTCAAGAAAGAGTTAAGCAGAGTATCAGAAAAGTTCTGTTTACACATTTTGGAGATTTCTTTATATTCCATGTTACTTCTCATATATATATGTGTGTGTGTGTGTGTGTGTGTGTGTGTGTGTGTGTGTGTATATATATATATATATATATATAGACTGATAGGATAGGACAGAGTTATCAGACTGATAGGATAGGACTGATAGGATAGGACAAAGGTCTTTTATAAGAGCATATGTGATATTAGCTCCAGAAGCTACTGAAACAATCAGGGTATTATTTTGGTTTTATCCCTCAATCATATTATATATATTAGGCTAAGGTGTCCCTCTCATTCTACTTTCCATCTCAAAGATGAGAGAACCCACACTCAAAGTAATCACCCATTTGCTTGCCTTAAGGCTTCCATCAGCAGATATCAAGAGGAAGTTTGAGGGTCTTGGCTTAATATCACCCCTTTGCAGACACACATTGACACAGAGGTTGAGAGGAAGTCTGCATGGACCCTTGGAATGGCTAAGTGAGGAGCTCAGCAAATCCTTTCCCCAATTCAACTAGACAACAACTAGACAGAATTGTCAAAAACAACAATTTTAGGACTCTGGAAATTGACCAAAGGCATATATAACAAATTGAGAAGCATTTATCAAGAAAATCTACTGAGTCTCAATAAGGGCAGTAGGACTCAGTGGCATTTTGCCTGGAACTCCCAGTCCCTAGCTCCTTGGGGCAGTCATGCTGAAAGACCAGCATCTCTGCTGCCAGAGAAGACTAACTGTATGAAGCAGAGCATGGGAAATCCCATATGCACGGAGGTTAATAAACAATAATTATCCCACTGGCAAACAACAAGAGAAGACTTGAGGTCTGACTACTTGTGGGGACAGACATCAAAGATCCAGGGACCAGGTAGCCAGATTGGTCTTGATAAAGTTGTAATTATCCCTGGTAGTCTGGAACATTATGTGCATGTATAAGGCTGCAAATATGTTCAGGAGAAACTGGAGGGGCCTTAGGGAGCCACTAGTCCACAGCTAAATATGAGCCCTTTTGAAGACAGAAAGTAATACCTAGGGCAAGCTTGTAAACTGGATAAATTTTGAATGTATGTTCCAAGCCACACATAGATCCATTGGCAAAAAGATAGAAGCCTTTCTTTCTTTTCTTTTCTTTTCTTTCTTTCTTTCTTTCTTTCTTTCTTTCTTTCTTTCTTTCATGTTTATTTTTGAGAGAGAGAGAGAGAGACAGAGCACTAGTGGCAGAGGGGCAGAGACAAAGAGGGAAACACAAAATCTGAAACAGGCTCCAGGCTCTGAGCTGTCAGCACAGAGCCTGACACGGGGCTGGAACCTGGGAACAGGGAGATCACGACCTGAGCCAAAGTCAGAGGCTCAACTGACTGAGCCACCCAGGCGCCCCAGGATGGAAGCCTTTCTGACCAATCATTTGCTGGTCACCAAGCTATGCTGACCCAAGGGCAGTTCCTATGAGGCCAGGCTTAAAAGTTGAAACAATAATTTTTAAAAAAAAATAAAAGTAACAAGGTACACCAGAAACTACACAGGGCAAGGGAAACATATTTCAAGCCTTAATCCAGACAGGACACGCAGCAAATAATCAAAAACAAAACCTGGTAAGGTCAAAATCCAGAGTTGTTGCAATTTTTATCTAAAATCTTGTTTTCGGGGCGCCTGGGTGGCGCAGTCGGTTAAGCGTCCGACTTCAGCCAGGTCACGATCTCGCGGTCCGTGAGTTCGAGCCCCGCGTCAGGCTCTGGGCTGATGGCTCAGAGCCTGGAGCCTGTTTCCGATTCTGTGTCTCCCTCTCTCTCTGCCCCTCCCCCGTTCATGCTCTGTCTCTCTCTGTCCCAAAAATAAATAAAAACGTTGAAAAAAAAATTTTTTTAAATCTTGTTTTCATCAAAAAATTATGAGACATGTAAGAAATAGAAAAATCTAACCCATACAGTTGAAGGACAAGTTACTATAAACTGACTTTGAAGAGGCCCAGATACTGGATTTAGCAGCTATGTTCAAAGAACTAAAGGAAATCATGTCTAAATAATTAAAGGGAGGGGCACCTGGCTGTCTCAGTCTGTAGAACATGCCTCCCTTGATCTCAGGGTCATGAGTTCAAGCCCCATGCTGGGTGTGGAACCTACTTACAATAAAAATAAAATAATAATAATAAAATCATGTTAAAAAAAAAACAAAAGGATATATAATGATAGGGATTCATGAAATAGAGAATATTGATAGATAAAAATAATTTCTTTCATGTTTTGCTTAAAAATTATGCCCAGGACTCAATACTTTGTGTTGTGATCCGATACATATTGTGATTATCATCCATGGAGTATAGCAGAGATTCAGTGTTTTCTGCAGGAAAAGCATAATGGGAAATTGGAGTGCTGTTACCTTGTACACATCAGCCTATACATGCTCATTGTCCTATGTCTTCCATCATCTTTGAGTATGAAATTCATGTTGAAGAAATCTCTTATCAGGGAGTTGTTAGGTGACCTTTTACTTTAAGTTCTTTGGAATTTGGAGCTAGATTTTGGAAACAATCTACTACCGCACCAGCTTCCTTCTCTTTTGCATATTACCTGTCTTTTAGAAAATTTTAGACATTTGCAATGGTAGCCTTGCCAGTTCCCAAGGTCCTGGGATGTTTTTTAGTACCTGCTATGTATATTTAAAATTTCTTCAGTTTTCAGGATGTTGAAAATTCTCCATATTTGTTGTGTACTTCTGTCATCACTATTTTATTTGAACATTAATCCTAATTAAAGACCAGGCATAAATGATGTTTCATATAGGTGGTGGGGGTTGGTCACAAAAAGAGAGAAGTAAGCATAAAAATAATTTTAAGTTCATGGTTAGAATATGAATTGGCCTTTTATGACTATTGCCTGACATTTTTAACCATATTTTTCTTTTATGGAACTAGCTATTGATATAAGCTGTTTTCTATTTACTTCTGCATATTTTTCAGGATACTAACAGCAGAAATATGCTCAATATAATGTTTTAATTGTGAAATTATTTGTGACAGAACTGAGTAAATTTTGACTATGTGTATATATTTTAAGTTTTTATTTAGATTCCAGTTAGTTAACATACTGTGTAATATTAGTTTCAGGTGTACAATATAGTGATTGAACACTTCCACATAACACCCAGTGTTCATCACAAGTGCACTGCTTAACCCATCATCTATTTAACCCATCCCCTCTAGCACCTCCCCTCTGGTAACCATCAGTTGACTATATGTTTTTATTTTTTTTTATTTATTTTTTTATTTTATATATGAAATTTATTGTCAAATTGGTTTCCATACAATACCCAGTGCTCATCCCAAAAGGTGCCCTCTTCAATACCCATCACCCACCCTCTCCTCCC